TGATTCTTTGATCAACAAAGCAACCAGTGCCCTGTGGTTATGCTCCAAAACTGTTGGTAGAAAGTGGGGCTTGAAACCAACAATGACAATGTGGATTTACACATCAGTAATCCGTCCAAAAGTAACTTATGCTTCGTTAGTGTGGTGGCCAAAAACGAAATAGACTACCGTACAGAGGAAGCTGGCAAAACTACAACGTCTAGCATGTATTTCTATAACGGGTGCTATGCGCAGCACCCCATCAAAAGCGTTAGATGCAATTCTCAATCTACTACATTTTACAATACTTCCAAAAAGGACCAGTGATGAGTATGAATGGAGACTGGATGAAACCAGAGGACAATTATGACACTCCCTTCAACGTATGTGAAATGTTGCGTTCGGATCGGAAAGTCGGTGGTCCTAGCGTTCGTCAAGGCTCAATCATATGTTTCACAGATGGCTCAAAAATTGGAACACAAACAGGTGCAGGAATCTTTGGCCCTGGGACAAATATTTCAGTAGCGATGGGACATTGTCCAACAGTGTTTCAAGCGGAAATCGTGGCCGTACTTGAATGTGTAAGTGTTTGCCTAAGGAGAAAATATAGATGTGCAAATATCTGCATTTTTCTGATAGTCAAGCAGCACTAAAAGCGCTTCGTGCTTACAACTGTACATCAAATATTGTCTGGGAATGTATTCTCTTATTGCGACAGCTGTGCAAATAGAACTCAGTAAACTTATATTGGGTTCCTGAACATTGTGGCATTGAAGGAAATGAAAGGGCATTAGGTTCTTATTCACCGTTTATTGGCCCAGAACCATATAGTGGAATATCAAACTTTACGGTAAAAATGGAACTCAAACGCTGGGATGAACAAAGGGTGATGGCCAACTGTATGGCCGTCACGAAGTGCAACCAGTCGAAAAGATTTATAACTTCAAATGTAACACATACCAAAAAGCTCTTGGAGCTCAATAAACGGGCTCTTATTTAGTATATACACTGGCCTAGTAACTGGGCACTGTCCGAGTAGATATCATTTGAAGAACATTGGTCGGGTTCAGAGCGATATCTGCAGTTTCTGTAGCATAGCACGTGAAACCTCGGAACATCTGCTCTGCAGTTGCGGTGCATTACACAGGCGTAGATCTAAATTGTTTCGTAGTTTTATCTTACAACCTAGTGGAATTTGGTCTGCTAATCCTGAAAAGGTAGTTGGTTTCATAAACCATATCATACCTGACTGGGAAAGGACGTGTCCAGGCAACTAGCTGTCCACTCATTAAATGGTGGTCATCTTGCATGATACGAACAGTAAACAGGGGTACTACAAAAGTTCAAATATTGGACGCAGTGGTTCAACTCCCACCAACAAAAAAAAAAAAAAAAAAAAATAAAAACTTGAACTTCTTTTTTAGAACTAGAATGGCGTTCATGCACCGATATACGTTTGAGAGAGGCTGACAGCCGTTTCTTCTTGGGAATATTTAAAGTGTTAGGAATTGTGGCAAGTTGAAACTTCGTATTCAACTTTGACTATAGAGTAGTGCATTGTAAGCTTACTAAAACCCAGTTATCTGTTTATATGTATTTTGTTTCAAGACATTGTTACTATGTGTAAGCTTACCAAAATCCAGATATCTGTTTCCTAAGAGGAAGAGGAGACAACTGGCTTCTTTTTGTCTGTGACGTGTTCTTCTTCTCTCGAGGGAACGACCGTGCAAAAACTATTTGACTATAGGCAACGCAGTCGACTGTCAAAATACAAGAAAATAGATTCCCTGTTGTAAAAATTATCGAGTTTTATGTATACGTTCGCCCGACCCATCAAGCGCAGATTCGCGTTTGACAGAAAATTGGTTCATAAAAGTTCCCCTATTGTCTCCTCTTCCTATTAGTCTGTTTCTGTGTACTTTGTTTAAAACATGGTTGGAGCTCAGATCTTACTTTATGGGGCTGCCATTTATCAATTCAATCGTGGCCCAAACCGTTACGTTTTTTCTATATCTATTGCATTGTTTTTTTTTTATAATTTTACACCCGTTTCATCTCCTCCAAACACCGTGACAAATTTCATCATATGTAACGTTTGTCCATTCAACTTTCCACCAAAAATTAACACTCAGAAGATCTATGAAGACAAGTTGAATTTTTAGAAAGGAAATACGGATGGTCATCGGTATATCCGTTAGAGATGCAGTATGAAAATGTAATCTCAGTTCTTGACAAAAATGTTAGGACTTGAATTTGCCAATGTGACAGTATGGAGCATATGAATGAAGAATCAGCAACGGAAATCAGCAAACGAGCAGCGTCATGCCGCTGGGGTGTCTAGCTTCAGTGAAGCTGAGCACAATTTAAATATTAATATGGATAAATCAAGCTGAACAATGCATTAGGTCCTAATGTTTGAAAAATAATGACACAACCATTTATTTCAAATCTATTGGCGCCGTTTGAAACTACATACTTTGAAGAGTTATTCGGCATCAACAGATTTAAAATCTGTTGATAAATTGCTGAGCAATAATTTTTCAAACATTGACAATTCGCCGTTACACATTTTACCGTAGGCATCGTGTTAAAAGTGTTAATAACATGGGTACAGAACCGTTTCTTGTCGTGTTTGTCGTACTTAAAGCTAGGTAATAGCTTCTTTCATGGATCTGTGTACTGAAAATAGCTGAGAATGTCTTAACATGGCCATGAGGATGCAAGGAGAAAGTCAACGAAGAGAATCTGTCAATGTAACTTAGGACCTAATGCATTGTTCAGCTTGAAATCTAATTCCCGAAATTCACACCAGCACCAGTAGAAAACAAATCAACAGCAACAGCGCATTCATCAGCAGTGGAGGCACCATCAATCAGCAAGCACAACAGCAGAAACTAATCAAACCAGCTCCATACATTGAATGGGAGTGGATATCGGAAAACACAAAAGAACAGTTGAACGAATCATAGCAACACGTTCTGGCAAAGCCTCCGGCGAGTTGAGTTTAATCGAAGACACCATATCAAGAAAACTGGCAACTTTGCCAAAATCCAAGCGACAGACACAGTAGCGCTACGCTCGAGCGAAAGTGGAAGCAACGCATAGAAAAATGAGAAAATGCACTAACCTTTCTTCTGAGGTTGTAATATTTGCTATCAAATTCATTCGAAGACACGCGATTGTGTCTGTTTGATAGCGGACGTATGAGAAACGGAAGAGTTGCCAGTCTTCTTGATATTTGGTCTTCTGGCAGTTAATGCAAATGATTGGAACGAACTAGTACGTCTACTAGAAATTCTAAAAAGATACTAACTCAATCCACTTTGATCTTAGCCTTTAAGCCGAGAAGCTATACCTACTAACTCAATCCGAATGAAAATTATAATCGGAAACACAGGTCAATCTCTTCCCCAAACACAAAATCTACAGACTTTAGGACAAAGATGGTGGACTGAGATTCCCAAGCAGTCCAACTTCTGTCTAGCTCATTCCAATCTTTAACTTAAATTGTTTTTCTTATTGTTAAAATTCCGACGGCAAGTAATCCTACTGGGAGATTATATTCAATCCAACGGATCAATTTTCATGCCACCTCAAATGAGAAAACAGCTTGCGGATGAACAAATTAATGAGTGAACTTTCATGCAGGGATACTTTCCTATTGACATGAGGTAACAAGTTGGATACAAGTGAATTGGGATAATGCGCGTCGTTTCGAATAGTAACAGTGAACATTTGTAGCATATAAACTTCATGCTACATTAATTTTATATCTAACTAGCTGAGCATACCCGGCCTTGATCGGGATTCAATACTAGCTTAAGTTTATGCGCCAATTGAAAAAAATGCTATATTGTACGTAGACCCTCCCCCCTTTTATCTAAGGGGCTTTCTCCTATGACCTCCAAATGCCAAATTTGGTTCCATTTGCTTGATTAGTTCTCGAGTTATGCAGAAATTTCTGTTTTATTTGTATGGCAGCCCCCCCCCCCCCCCTTACAGAAGGGGGAGGGGTCTCGAACCTTCATAAGAACCTTCCACGGCCCCAAAAACCCCTGTATACAAATTTTCACGCCAATCGGTTCAGTAGTTTCCGAGTCTATAAGGGTCAGACAGACAGACAGACAGACAGACAGACAGACAGACAGAAATTCATTTTTTTATATATAGAAGATAGAAGATAGATTTAGATAGAATACCGCTAAAATTTACCCTATGATGATACGATTTCATTTTTAAATTTCCCGATGTCGACCCAAGAAACATTTGTGGTTTTATTAAGGCCTTCTAGTCCATGCTACGTTTTAAAAAAATCTTCAAAAATATATGTTTCTGCCAGTGCTGTTAATTTTCATATCATTCGATTGAAGATGAACCAATACGACCATTCAATCATTCCTGTGAAAACAAATTCTCACATGAACATAATTGGAAGAGCCCCTTTCTCATCGTCACTGTCAATTTAGTCACTCACAATCATTTGATATACAACAGTGGAGTATGGAAGAAACCCAGCAAAACCCGAACAGACAAATCGACCCGAAGTCGGATCAATGTATGGCAAATTTAAGGACGATGTCGACCCAATGTCGTGTTTTTGTCAGGTAAATTTTGGGTTTATGTCGGGTAGAAGTCAGGTTAGTGTCGGTTTGGCTTAGCTTTTTCGCCGGAATGTCGACCAGAGCTCCGTTTATGAGTAGGTTACACTCAATTGAATGATATCAAGCGTTTCTCAAATGAGAATGATCCGTGCCTTCGTCAAATGACTAAGCAACTGATATCACCCATTTGAAGAAGGGTCCCTTTTGATAGCGGATAGCTGCTTTTCTCATTTTCATCAAAAATGTGGAATTTATCTTGAGAATTTACAGCACTGGTTTCGGCATCGATAGAACAAACGTCACGATAATTAAACATAAATCCAATTGAATATAAAGAAAAAAATATTTCAAGTCTATCATCTTTGTGAGAAAAACCTTGACGCTAACTGGAAATGAAACGGTCTGTATTGATCTACTCACCTCAATGTATTGGCGATCGTTCGGGCGGCGGTGTCACATCGGAACACGTGACACATGTGAATCCGGGTGAGGCGATCTCGGGCCACGTAAGCGAAATCTCTATGTAAATTCATGGAATGGGAAAAGAGTGAAAGAAAAAACGAATGAATACAGCTGCACAATTTTCACAATGATTCCATAAGGACTTTTCAAAAAGATAGTTTAACGGATACAATTTGGGACCATCCATAAATGATGCTGCATTTTATGCGAGAGAGCAGGGAATCAAACACATCTAAAAATGAAAAAAATGACAACCGATCCAAATGATAACGCATTGTCTGTAACGGCAAGTAACATGACAAAATCCTCTTTGTGTGTTTTTTTTTATGAAAAACAACCTTTGCATATAGCTTGATCGGAACGATGGAAGGATATCGAAACAATAGTTTGCAAGCTTCTTCACAACATACGCAGCAGACGCTATATCGTCATCCGCGTTTACTGCATCAAAGCTTGCAAACATTTTCATCAAACATCAAGCCATAGGAAATTGAGTTTATCGTTGTAGTCGTCGCAAGCATTTGGTCTTTATTGTGGGTTGCCCTCTGCGTTTTGATTTCCTGGAAAAAAGGAGCTTGCAAAATTGTTTATACTAAATATGCTACGAGGGGGAAGGGGTTGTTTAAAAACATTCAACGTCATGACGCGTCATTGATCGATGGTCCCTTTTCATAAACACAACTATTCCTTGAGTTTAAGTTTCTATTTTGAATTCATGATCATGTGTTTTGTGCCCAAAATAGAAACATTACACTTTTGTTGTAGGCTTACTGTAAGTGTATTTTCATACCTTTCTCTGAGAGCACATCAAGACAGGACATCGAAGCACCACAGAGAACGGAAGTTTAATGTAGGGGGTTGTTTTTTAAGTGCATCAGTGACAGATAGCAGCAGGAAACGAAATAAAGGAAAAGGAAACAATAATGAACCATGATTGAAAAAAATAACTAACTTGTGATTGTGATGGGTATAAATTTTGGAAGCTAAACGTTGCGTGCGCATGATAAAATATATGGAAATGAAGCGAGTCGTTTCGAAATGCTGCTTTTTTAGTTTTAAACTTAAGTAAACCGCAAAAAATTGTGTCCCATTCAGTTCGTTTTTCACGAGAACATGTTTGCTGAAGATATCAACCTTATATTTAGTCAGAATCTGGATATAAATATGACATGGTAAAGAGTGGAACGGTCAAAAATTAGTCGACTCAAATTTGGCGATTTTTTTAATTGAACATTCAAAAAACTTGAACACCCCTCATTTTGTCTGTGCCGTACGGAATTTGGCCTCTATTTTGTTTTTGTCATTTTCCATTCAGTTGTCAAAATGACGTCAAAGCAAGAAGAACAGCGTATCAAAATTGTGCACGCGCATAAGCGAAATCCAAATTATTCCCACGCAATTGCGTCAGAAATTTGATTGCGTTATAATGATCGATAAAATATATGCCAAGGGGGATTCCAAGCAGCTCCCAGGTCAAGAGTTTACATGGCTACCAGAAAAGGAAAGGTTCAAGATTAGTTTAAGCAGAAAAATTTGTCAAAATTTTTGAAAAAATACTTGGTTTGGCAGGCGATTTGCACCTGTGGGCTGAAAAGCGAAATTTTCGTGACAACTGACGTTGTTAACCAAGATATTTATGAAAAGAAATGTTTGCAAAACAGATTGTTGCCTTTTTCGAAGAAACACAGTTGTTCCGTGCTGTTTTGGCCAGACCTCACTTCCTGTCACTACCGGAAAATGGCTCAGGAACGGTATACCACCAACAACGTACTAGTCGCACCCAAGGACAAAAACCCTCCAAATTTGCCGGAGCTGCACTCAATTTAAAAATAATGAGTTGGAAATGAGAACCAGTTCAAATCAAATTGACGTTCAGCAACAAATAAGGTTAATTCAATTTGAGCAGTTCAAAATCTGATGGTCTGAAAAGTAAAGCCCGACAGTTTGAATTTGGAAAATCGGAAGCCTAAACAAATAATTTTCCTGTATTTTGTAGTTATTGAACTTCAAAAAGAAATAAAGGTTGATCATTTATACAATAACATAATCATGATTGACCAATTTTTAACCGTTCCACCCTTTATATGAGTTCATAGTCATATTAGCGAATCCTAGCGATAGAATTATATGTGGAGCTATGGAAAAAATCAAGATCTCTGTATGAGAAGCACATTGAAAGCAAATCCGAGCAAAGTCGATTAACAAAATGAAAGCAAATCAATATTAAAGTTTGCAGTTCCTATCATAATGAAAGCTCATTTTGATTTCAATTGTCGTGACAGAAGTCTGATATCTTATTGTGCTTTCATTATGCAGTCAAGAATTTTTAAATCAAAGCAACTTAACTTGAAGTTCTGCTGTTAATTTCTTGTTTAAAATTTGATTTAAGTTCATCTGTCGTTAAACTAATCATTATTGTTTATTTGATTTGTTTAACGTATTTTAGGTCATTCGTGACTAGCCCGAGGTGATATTTGAGCTCAAATTTTTCAGCGTGAGAAGCATGGATGCTAACCATTAACGACAGGCCCGTATTCAGTCAAACATTATGAATGCAAAATCAGTAATCAAATTGATTTCATTGAAAGCAGAATTAGTTTTCCGTTTGATTCAACAGTGTAAAATTTTGCTCTCATTTTTGCTGTGTTAACCGTTAAGTCAACCAAAATTAGATCAAATGGAGTATTCAAAATAAGTTACATCATAACAGCAAATTCTGATTTCAATTTGATCTCTAACTTTGCTCGGGAACACACAATCTTGAAGTAAGGGATTTTTGCAAGACTATGGTTCTATGAAAATATTTCAAAATCGCACACTTTGAAAAAAGTATGAAAATTTAGGGACTTAGTATTTTCAACCCATGATTTGTCATAGAAAATATCACCATCTTTGAATCATGAACGGTTATTTTGGAGCATATTCTTACAACAGTTATCAGCATCATGAATGATTAGCGGCGCCGGTGGTTGAGTGGTAAGCATGACTGCCATCTCATCCAAGTGTGTCTAGATTCAATCCCAGTAGAGGTTGTTGGGATTATTCTGAGGCGAAAAGACCCATGCGGTTACGAGTCACGTCTTCCTTTGGAAGAGAAGTAAAGCCGTTGACCCCGGCCAAGGCTGTTAATCGTTAACTTGAGCTTTAAAGTCTTCAACGAGAATTTACATTGAAGACGTTAACGGACGTTAACGTCATTAACAACCCTGGACCTGGCTCATATCACCCGTGACTCGAAGATTTCTGGCTTACGCTCTTCACCTTGGAACAAAACTTAATTTGGTGTTCCCAGCGCTGTTCCCAATGAGACGGCCATCCCGTGTGCCGTACTAGGCAGCCTTAGAAAGCCTTGGACAAGATTAGTAGCCAAGATGGGTGATTCTCAAACCCAATAGCAGCTTTGGAGGGTTTGGAGAACACAAATGAAGGTAAAGCTTTAAATCACCAATAACGTGCATCATATCCCTGTAGAACCCCCTTCTCGCACTGTGTCCACTTTGGCTGGTTTGACTATCTTTATCCCAGAATTCGACGGTGGTTATCATCAGTGGTTGACATTCGACGAAACATTCCTGCCTTTGATTCATGATATCCAGGACCTACCACCGATCGAAAAGTTCCATTATCTCTGTGCAGCAGTCAAGGGAGAGGTTGCTCAGATCATCGAGACGATCGCCATCAGAGCTGCCAATTATCAGTTGGTGGCAAACGCTGATCATCCGCTATTCGAATGAGTACTTGCTCAAAAAACGACACCTGCAGGACCTGTTGAACATTCCACGAATGAAGAAGGAAACTGCCGCAGCACTTCACTCGACGGTGGATGAATTCCAAAGACCCATCAAGATTTTGCAGCAGCTAGGCGAATAAACCCAAAGCTGGAGCACTCTACTGGAGCATCTATTGTGCATGCGGCTTCACGACGATACGATTGGAGCATGGGAGCAACCTGGTCTATACAAGGTGTGGAGATCTAGCCCTGACGTATGTGTTGGTAGAGGAAAAAATGTAAACTTTGCGGGAAACGATGGTGACGACGTCATAACACTCGAAAGGAAATTTGCGAATTAAGGAGTAAAAGCTATTTTTGCATGATGATTTTGCTTGATTGTATTCTTTTGTAAAGTCGCCGCGAAATATCAGATGGCAATTTTTATTTTATGATAACTCCTTACTTGAAAACAGGCAAAAACTCACAAACAGGCTGCTTTTTCATGGTATACAGTGTGATAATTCAATTATCAATAAATTATTTCAACATTTAGTGGCAGACCATTCATAAATTTTGGTAACATACATAAATTCTATAATCCATATTAATTTTCCTTTGCAAGCGCCGATCGAAACAAACGCTATGACGTCACTACAAGGTTGATTGAGTGAACGAAAGAAACGAATCGTGCGAAGCGGAATGAAAGCCGAGTGAAAAACGAAATGCACCAATACATTCAGGCTTACAATTCCACACCTTGTATAGACCAGGTTGGCATGGGAGGACCATGCAGAAATGATGAAGAACCAGTCCTATTCGTGCCTGGTGAAATTTTTAGAGCAACGCATCCGGGTACTTGAGTCCGTTTCCGTCAACCATTCTGCTCATCCTACTCCTCCAAATGGATTCAACGGGAACTAACAGGGTGTCAATTCAAATTCCATTTTTCAATTCCCGGTTTATGTTTCCCGGTTATTAAAAACAAAACTCTAGCTTAAACAAAAAAGGCGTTCAAAAATAACCCTTTAGAGATAATGATAAAATTTATTCAGCAGAATTCCTCTAGAATATGCTGGGCTGGTAGTGGGTTATACAATAGTATTGACTACAATAACGAAAAAAGTTACCAAATAACAAAAAAAAAAAGTGACCAATAGTGACATTTATTTATCGGAAAGATATTAAAGATATGAATCTAATCTGTCGTTGAATGCGATCCGCTGTGACAAATATTATAAATTCTTAAACCACTATGAGCATTTCACAATCTTTTTTTTTTTAATAAAACAAATGGTTGAAGGATCTTATAAATTTGTTTTCGTAAAACCAGAATTAATTGGATAAT